AAACCTTGCCCTGCTGATGCCTCTGGCTCTTTGAAGTCTGACCATCATACCTGGCAAAACAACAGTGGGAACTAGGATGGTGTCAGATCTAATCAAATTGCTCACTGCAGCACAGCTAACTATGGGGTTCACTAATTGGCCCAATTGAGGATTATACCTTTTGCTACAGATTCACGACAATAATTTAGTTAAATGATGTCCCCCCCATCTCTTCCAATTAAGATTCCAAAGTTGGAAGAAATAGGATTAGACAGAGTCTCACAACTGTGTTCCCTTTGAGGTGGTATGTACTTTTGATAGGTTTCACTATGGCAATGTAAAATATATATACATATATATGTATATATATATATACATATACTTTTAGAGATTCTGAGAATCTGTGACACTGTTGTATGCCTATATTACTAAAGAATTAAGTGAAAATATGAGCAAAGTACATTTAAAATGTGAACATATAAAAATTACATTCTACTGTTACAGTGTCAGTTTTTGCTGTGTCTGTATGAGACAGAGAGAGAGAGAGAGAGAGAATAGATAGAGGAGTGGGGGTAGGGAGAGAGAGAAAGGGATAGAGAGAGAGAGGGAGAGAGAACGAACTTGTACATGTGAGTGGGCATGCATGCACTTGTATATTCACCTTGTGTGTACATGTGAAGGCCCAGTGGTAACAGACATTTTTCTCTATTTCTTTGCCTCCTTATATTTTGAGTCAAGGTCTCTCAATGAACCTGGAGCTCTCACTTTTGGCAAGAATGGCTGGCCAGTGACCCCCAGGGATCCGTCTGTCTCTGCCATCCCAGTGTTGGGGTTACAGGTGTGCTTGGCCACATCTGGCTTTTATATATGGCTGGGGAATCAAATAGGTCCTTGGACTCATGCAGCAAGATCTTATCTATTGTGCCATTTCCTTTCCTTGGGTTTATTATTGGCAAGTGATTACATTCAGATGAATAGACACTTGTAGTTAATATTTTAGTTTTGGTATTGGCAGTATACCTATGAATGCAAGCTAACTTAAACAGTAGTGAATATTTATCAAGGACAGTATTATTAGAAAAGTTCCATCAATTAGACTATATGGCCATGATACTACCACCTAATAAGGCTTCCAAGGTGGATGTTTATGAATGTATTAATTCAGTAACACCACTGTGAATTGACAGGCAAGTTTCCCTTGTCTCTTTATCTTTGGGTACATTAAACATATTCCATCCTCTTATTTCTCATTAAAAAACTGGAAAGGCCATAGAAAATAAATGCAGAGAAATAAACCTAGGGCTAATGATATCATACTACATTCTGAACTGTTAATGCTAAATCACAGTGATTAGTAAATAGTATGTGAGACTTTATACTTTGCAAATTGTTACCATTTCAGGTAAGTCTATGAATTTACATCAAGCTCTATTATTATATTAATATTAAGCCAATTAATGCCAATAGCTCATGAAATTTTGGTATTGATAGTTAAGAATGAATCTATTTATTTAGCAGGTAAACAAAGAATAACTACTCTACTTTGCAATAACTGGTTGGCCAATTGTTTTGTGAGGAAAAAAGCCTTGGTGACTGGAGAGTTATTGAGGTCTCATATTCTGAACTGGCTTCAAAGTATTACAAGTCAATCTTGAATAATTTTGATTTGCTTTGACAGAGTCTTCTCTCAATACTCAGTCTATAAGACTCAGATACATTGATTATGCTGATTGTGACTCGATCAGTTCAAACCTCCATAACTGTTATTCTTCTATTTATTGAACATTTGTAGTTACAAAATGTAACTACAAATTGTGTGAACTTCAGCACAAATGAATTGTCACACTTTTCAACTTGAACCTAGAAACTCTGATGCTTAGAGCTGAAAAACTGCCCCATAACAAGGAAACTTTTTTGTAATAATTTTGTAGATGTTACAACTAATGTAATACTATATAATCACTTGTTAGGAATTTCAATTAGTAGAACATGAAGGCTGAAAATACAAACTCAAAATGCTGTTCCTATGATATCATCAAATTCCATGCAGCCATACGCATTATAAGTACATCATAATTATAAAGAAAAATTAGTCAATGATAATACCAACATTATCAAAGAAAGCAAACTGACACACTTAAAAGATCTTAAGTTTAGGCAGTTAGTTCAGCTCAGGAATGAGGGCACTACAGAGTTATGAATCCTAGAGTGGGACTTACATGCTACACACAGCTGTATCACTTAGGCCATTGCATTCATAGTACCTTTACATTGTATACATTCTGGCACATACACATGTCTGCCGAGGACAGGGCACATAGCTACTTTAGCTGCAGGGTCATCACTCAGGCCTTCAGTGTCAGCACTGTAGCCCAGATTCTGTCATGCATTTCATAAGGTCTAACGTAAGCAGCTTTATGGTTACAGTGAATTGTAATAATTTATTGAGATAAATGTTTTCTCCACAATCAGACGAAAACAATATGTACACCAGGAAGGAGAAGATACTACTCTGTCTTCGAGTCACTTAAAATTGGAAAGCACTGTGTTGCCACACCTGTCATGCATAAAGATCAATGTCTAAATAGGCTTTACTAGCACCCGTTCCACCACACACTGCCTTAGCTTCGTCTGCATTCACTCCTCATTTGTGACTCATGTGACTTCAGATACATCCCAATTTGTAATAAATCTGCCTGCATGGGATCAGAAAAGTCACTTGTGCTTTACCCACCAAGCTAGGCTTTGCTTCTGGGAAGAACACCCAGATTCAGTGCTCAAAGCATTCCCTCCTTAGACTTTTTAAGGAGTATAGCTTGCATTTTAATTTTAAAAAACATCAGAACATTAAAAAGATTTATGGCCCAGTGTGGTAGCAGAAGCCCTTAATTCCAGCAAATGGGAGGCAGAGGCAAGAGGATCTCTGTGAGTTTGAGGCCAGCCTGGTCTACAAAGCAAGTTCTAGGACAGCCAAGGCTATACAGAGAAACCCTGTCTCAAAAAACATGACAATTCAAAACAAACCAAACCAAAGCAACAACAACAAAAGAACAAGATTTATGTATTTCTATTAGGTTTGCCATTTAAAATTGCTTTCAATTGAATTTTTATTTTATAAACTCCCAAATCTTTACTGACTAGATAAAACCAAAGTGACAAGGATTTGATTGAGTGTACTGAATATTAACTTATTTAAAGGGTGACTTTATTTTTGTTTTGTTTTCAAATACTGCTTCCAAACCAAGGAGCGACAATTGTGATTTTTTTTTTGTTTTGTTTTGTGTAGTAGCAAGAAGTCTGTAATCAACACTCTCTAATAGAACCTACAGCCATTCAAGGAAGTAGTCTCACTTAACATTACGCAGGTCCTGTAATTCCTCCTTTTTATGTTCCCCATAAGACACTGTGAGTAAGGTCATAAACAGGGTCCACATCCTACTTTGGTCACAGTAACGTTTCCACTGAGGAATACTTGCTTAATTTCTATACAATAGAAATGATACCTTACAAATGTTTTAAAAATTACTGGGGAGAATATTACACAGAGGGAAAAATTTTTATCTTTCATTTGAAACATAAATTTAACTTTAAAAAGCAAGCATGCTTTTACCAGACAATAAGCTATCACCTAGTCCTCTAAATGTTTAAGACAGTAAGTCACTTGGTATCCCATCAGAAAAGCTGCAACAATGTTGGTACAGTGACAGTCTTAGATTCCATTGCAGTGGTTTCCTTTGAGAAGTAAGGCAAATTAGCTCAAGAATCACTATTCCTACACACCCTCTTGGGGCTTTAAGTGGCCTTTGAACAGAGTACTCTCCAGATGAAGAACTTCTAACACTCCTGCAGAGATGACCTGCCTGAAGAACTGGATGCCTGATTAACTATTAACTGCTCTCAATAGGATTAGATAATTAAGGGCATTGATGACCATTAATTAGGAGGAGGGCACATTAATTTGTCACAGGATAGGACCCTTATGATGATTTATAGGTTAGTGCTACTTGTAAATGTGAAGGGACAGAGAAAGAGAGAGAAAGCCATTAAGTTACCTTATCAAGTGGCCAGCTTAAAGAGGGCAGAGGGTCAAAGAAGGGCCAAAGTGGTCACTTTAAGGGTGAAGTCCCAAACACCAAAGCAGTGCCAAGCCACATTGACCATCATTTGGTGATGAAGTTAAAAATATGCTAATTTATTGGTGGTAATTCTCTCTTTTTATGGTTTCAAGCAGTTAAGACAAGTGGCCTGCTTAAGAGCTTTTCATTTGAAAAGAGATTAAACAAAATGGTTTGTCAAGGCAGTTTGGCTGTTTTATGTCTTTGTTAAAAAAAAAAAAAAAATTGCACCAACCATACTGATAACTATCACATCACCCAAATGCCATCTCTCTGAATATTTACTTTGTTAATAAATATATCAAGCCTAATTGCTTAATAGTTCATGTTCATCTGCTCTTTAGCAAGATTAAGCTGAAACAACTTCTTTGTATCGCTTTCTGTCATCCTGCTTGCAGAAAGGTCACAAAATCCACATGTAGAAAATGTATTTACAGCCACTAGTGTAACTCATACTTTAATTCAACATTTTAAAAATTAAATATAATCTCCCTAATACTTAAAAATAAAGCAAGCAAACAAAAAACCTTTAGGAGGTAGGAATGAAACTTCTCTTCTTATCCAAACACAGTTGTGGGTAGCATTCATATTCCATACACAGTAAGCACAGCTCATTAACATTTAATTAAATGCCTTTGAAAGCCTTGGAGATGCATGCCATATTTATCATTTGAGTTTGGAGCTTATTTTTAATAGCTATTAAAACATTTCTTTCTTTTTTTGTGTGTGTGAATAATAACACACGATCAGAATGCAGGAAAAATATAACAAAAATTAGTCTGTTATAATAAAAGCACTTAATTTGTAGCCTCAAATGTGTTTTAAATGTTTAATTAGAGTAAAAGCCAGGAGTGAGGGGGACCATTTACCTTAAGACAGTAAACTAAAACATAAAAAATCTCTTACCTCAATGGTGAACAGCTTCCGTTTTAACTTAAAAGCTAAGTCTTTGACATCCGATTCATCACAAGTCAAGTTATTAAGCCGAGGAATCTTCCATATATGGATCAAACCTCATGGAAAGGAAATTAAAAGAAAAAGCCTTAAGTGCTGTCATCAGAGGCAGAAATTAAAGAGTCTTACAGAGAATCTGTAAATTTACACACAAGCATCCTCCCTTTAAAACGGGAGCTGAGTACCAGGAGCAGTGAAGCAAATGGTGTGATTATACTCAAGTAATCAAGCAGAATAAGATAAACAGAAATCCTTGAGCGAGGAAAACTAATTGCACTTTGGTTCAGGAGTACAGATGTAAAGAGGGATCTTAATACTTGTCAAAACTACAGCCGGTCTGCGTGTGATTTTCTTTCGTATTTACAGTAAGCAAATATGGCTATCACCTTGTGTGCTGCCCACAGCACCACTGAGTGATCTTTATTTTATTAAATGCACCAGTAAGCAGCCAACAAAACAAGGCTCTTGGGTTACTGATAATCTGCAAAACACCAATAAAAAGTATTTCATTTCGTACGTTGAACAAACTAATGAAGAAAACTACATTTCAGCACAGTCTAGGATCAAACATTAGTCTGTATGCCATCCGGAAACACTGATTTTTATGGCACGTTAGGCCCTTATGTGGCCATTAGAAGCTCTGCAGCAGTGCTAGGTAAACCATGAGCTCGGGGCCTCGTCAGCAGAAACACTTGCTAATCTTTCCTGACAAGGCACTGGAAGGCTTTTGTGTGGTTTCTGACTAAACTAGGGGTCAGTTCCCACAGACGAAGACATGGAAGGTTCTTCAGTGCATCTTTTTGGCTGACTCAGCTCATATTCAGGGATACTGATCCCTCAACATGGAATATGAGATAGCAAATTTCAGACTAGAGTAGATAAACCTTGCTTATGTGTGTGTATGTGGATGGTCACTAATGTAGGCATGAGTTTAAGTTTAAAGTGTAAGCCTTCAGGCAACTTCATTGTTACAAACAACTTCAAAAATAATTCACTAAAGTAAGAATGCTTACATTTTAAATATAATATTGTAATAAATAATTTGAGATTTTCATAAAATGTATTTTGATCATATTTACCTCCTACTTTTCATTAAGACAATAGTTCTTAAAAATTAAAATATCTCACACATAATTATTTAGTAAAATACACTTACTAGAGATAAGGACAGCACATTTCTCATTTTAGTTTTACAGTATATGTGCTTGTTAGGTAATTACTAAGTTAAGAGGCCTTATATAATTTATTATAAGGACCTTCTAATTAATGGGAAACTTACAAATAATTAGAATGAGTCTTACACATGGAGAATAATTTACTGATTCAGAGATTTCAGCACAAAAAGAATGATAGTTGGACCTTTTGAATGTTTTAACCACAATAATGTAGAATATAAAATATAATTTCAGTATAGTTTATAAACAAATGCTTATAAATAGTAATGTAACTTACAAAGGTAACATCTAAATTTATTTTTTTAAAAATAAAATGTAACAGCAATATATTTAAAATAGCTAAATTATCTTAGCTTTCTTCTCATTATAGTGAAAAAATGATGTATTAAATAGATTTGATGTAGGGTTAAGCTGTACATACACGATATGTTAATTTAATTAGATAAGTAACCAGGAGGCCCATTATTTTACTGTAAGTGTGGTTTACAACTTTACATTTTTTTTTTTTTTTAGCATTAAAAAGGACTTGTTAGCTTATGCTAATTCATCATTGTTCTTAAGGTTGACTACTCAAAGCACTGGAAATCATACAAAGTACCATATCATCTTTAATGCCTTTTTTACAGCCTCTTACATGTTAGCAAACAAAGTTAGTTGCCACAAAAGTAAACTTAAAACTAGCTGGTAAATCTTTAGAAGTTCAAAGTATAAGTTCCAAAATAATATCATTAGTTTATTTAGAAAACATAAAAGTTAAGTGTGTCATTTATAACACTTTGTATTGAGTTAGAACTAAGATCACATAACTATTAACCTTCTACTATTCAAATTCTTATGTGAAAATACTATTTCTTAAAAAAATTTCAATTAGCCAAATGACCAAAGTACCTTTAGTGTTAAAAAAGGGGGGTTGAGAATAGTCTTGAATAATAGAATCTATACTTAGAATGCACAAGACCTGATGTTCAATCTCCAGCATCAAAAACAAAACAAAAATATCATGTAGTAAATGTCAAATCAATTTTTCTGGGTTTATGTTGGGATAACAAGGTAATATGGAACCCCTTTTTAAGGTGCTAGTGCTGGGGACTGGACACATGACCTGCATATCTAGCAAATGTTCTAACACAGAGCTATATCTCAGTCCAGAATGCACCTTATCAGACAGCTAGCTTTGTTAAAAAAAAAAAAAATACATATATGTGTATATATGTATCAGAAATGCTGCTAAACTGTGCCAGGTTTTAAAGTATTCAAAATGCTTAGGACCAGAGCACTTCATACTTTAGATTTTAAGATTAGGGATATTTGTAATATACTTACTTCAAATATGACTGATTTCATAGAAACTCTATACTATTGGCAAAATAATACTTCAGATCCTGGCTTTGACTACTTTCAGTTATCATAATCTATAATCTTAGTTTGACAAATGGCTGAAGTAGAATTATTAAGCAGGAAGGGAAAGTATTTAGCAGCTATGAGGTGGGATAAAATTCACACTATGTTATAGCAGATGTTCTGACTAGACTAGGAGGATGCTTTCAGGGAGCACTCAGAACATGCTCTATCCATGATGAAGATGATGCTTACCATGATAATCCTTATATAATGGGTTGGTTTCTTTCTCTGAACCAATAAAAGATTCCAGACCAACTACTGTATCTGACAAATTTCTCACACGAGTAATAATTGCTTTATTCTGAAAAACATAGAAATGGAATACTCATGTTATAATTAATTACAAAATAAACATCTATACAGAACCACTAAGCCATCCTGAACACAAATTGTAGTGGAGATATGAAATATTAACACCAGAGTCTGAAAAACAGATGAAATAGTCTCCTAGTTGAATGGTCTGATCTATATAGGTATTGTATGTTAGTTTAAAGAGTTGAAGGCAAGGTGAAAACATTAATTACTGTTCATTTGGCCTAATGAATGAGGCTACACTTATTCTTATACATTATTGTTTTTCACGTTACTTTACTCCTGTCCACTGGAAAGCTTGGCAGACAATGGGATTCAAACAACACTATGTAAAACATGAGTCCCACTGTTGCACATCTGCTGGGACTAGGCCTCAGCCCTGTAACAGCTCAAGGCCTCTGTGACATATTAGAAACAGAAAGGTCTGGCTAAGGGGCTGCAATATGTGACTAGTTCTGGAGTCTTCTGTGTCCTTTTCTAAATGCTGCCATTGGTTCTAGAGCAAAGAAACTGTGACTAACACTGACCCATGGCCAACAACTTCTTCCTGATCATAGCTCAAGATGAATCCAACAGTACTCAACAGAACAGCTTGAGAATGTCCTGGTACTAGATTAAAACGATATGTCAACATGGTTCTAAGCACAGGATACCCAGTTGCTAAACAGTATTAATTTAACCCCCCCACCCCATAGCCAGGTAAGTAAAATCACTGACTAGCCAGTTGTTTTTGCATTATTTTACTTAGTGGAAATTCAGAATTTCCTGTATTCTGACAGGGTGATAGCCAGGAAGCCATAATCCTTTAATATACCAGGACATAGCATTTTTGCTCTACAGACATAGATTTGTAGAAATTAATCATTATTTGTACAATTTTCGAATTTTGAAATTCTCACTTTATATGCTGGTAATATCCACTAGTTTAAAAACCAATTTTAGAAAAAAGGATGGGGCAGTCAAGAAAACCAGACTGTTTGGTGCTATGTTTTCTGTTGGAGGAGAGACCACAAGGATTTTTCATTTTGCAAAAGCTTCATGACTGCTACTAGGTTTACTGTTGCTTTTCTGTCTCTTGAGGGCGTGGTAAAGACTTATAAGAGTGGACAGGAACTATACGATTCAAAAGGAAACAAATGCACAGTGGTCTGGGTTTCCAAACATTCTGCTGAAATAGTTGGCTAGCTCACATCAGGCAGTATTTTGAAGCTCCTCCATAGGAGGAATGCATATTGTGTGGAGGACATTTCAGCCTCTAATCTTCGATCATGAAAGGAGACAGTGTATAAAAGTTTTCTTTGTCTTTCAGTTGTGTGAGCACATTAAGTATAGAATACATATAAAATCCACAAATAGCTATTTTTTCCTAAAACAATTCTTTACTCAATGGTGAGAAAATAATCCAGATTGATTCCTTACTTTCAGTGCTGTGCCACAGGGAATGGTACTACTCCAGGAATAACAGGAGCTTCAGAGGCCAGAAACATGTTCCTCTCAATATTTCTTTAGCCAAAGACCATTATATCAAACTCATCCAGGTTGGGTTTCAGCCAGTTATTCTTCACCCAAACAAAAATGTCTGCCAGACATTCCAACAGCTGGGAGACAGTTCACAATGAGTCAACTTGAAAATGATTCATTGTGCTGAGTACTGAACAATGTTGGGATGGGGGTGGGGTGTGGCTGGCTTGGTAGTAAAGGGTGAGAACAAGTGGGAGATGAAGAAAAACCATGTGGTTCCCCTATCAAGGAGAATCTTGGATACTAATCAGCAGGCTCCTATCATTTCAGTTTTAGTATAAATTCTACTGAGAAGAGTATTCATATCATGGACCTTCAGATGAGCAAGAGCTTATCAAGGCAACTGACAGTATTTCTTAATCTAAAAGGTCAGATTTACTTTATCTATAAATAAAAGACAGTCTTTGTATCTAAATATCTAAGTTTGTTAGACTTCACCTACTCAAGATTTCAAGCATATCACCTTGGTTCTTTCCAGTTATATGATTAGGAGAACTGTAAGGTGTAAAGACAGACTGATTTCCATTCTAACAGTAAGGAAGTGCTGCATATTTAAAAGACTAACTGGACACTGTTATTTTCTTCTTTCATTTAACCCTAAAGTTAACTAATAAAACACAAACAGGCTATAAGATTTATCAATTTTTTAGGTCTTTTTAAAAACAGCTTATAAAACAGGTGATTAATTAATTATATTCACTGAAGAAAACTAATAAATTCTAAAGATAAAACACCATGTACAGCTTGATTTCAAAATTTCTCAGAAATGTGTTCACTCATTCATAGCTATTACTTACTGAATTTCTAAGCTCTACATTCGTGTCACTGCCACTAATTATGAACTAAAATCCATCTAAAAAGCTTTCGTGAAACTTTGTGCTAAGAATAAACATTTAATTATATTGTTACCATAAAAGAAGTTATGTTTAACAGTGACCTTATTGCCTTCTGCACAGCTATTTTGCAATAATTGGTACAATGTGGCTAACCAGCCTAACTGTGAAAATTACACAAATATCTAAAATCATCCATAGGAAAAAAAAAATCTAAAATCATCCATAGAAAAAGAATAATGGAAAAACTATAGAAGAATAACATCTGTTTTCTGACTGAGATAACCTTTATTTTTATAATAAGCACAATGAGTCTCTAGCTAGTTGTAGGAACACAGAAAGATACGTGAGCAACAAAATGAATTTTTTAAGAATTAAAAAAGATGTAATTGTTTGTGTATGTTGAAGATTCCTTTTAGGGTCTGGTTCAGCAATGCAGCATTACTTCAGAGTCGTGCTTATTACAAGGTTCTTCAAGACACTGTATTGATACTAAATGGTCTTTTAAATAAAGGTAGGTGAATTTACATAAAAGAACAAAAATTAATGCATTTAGAAAACCCTTGAAAGCATAATAATCACAATTCAGTTTGTCAGGAATATGCTATGTAAAAATTAACATAATATGGCCAGTGGTGTTCAGAAATCTTTAGCACAGTGACTAGAGTGGGGATTTTGAAATAGAACCTCTACATTCTTATCCTGACAGACTCTAAGCACTGTATTTAGTAGCAAAGATAAAAACTTCCAGCTTTTTAGTTGAAGTGACAGAATCTATGCATCAGGACCTAAGACATATATTTGAACAACATTTCTACTTTAATTCTGAAATTGCTAAATTAAAGTTTCAAGTAAGGAATACTTGCACAAGGATATTAGAACTAAATTAATGGTTATAGTGCACATGTGCCATAATGACATCACCCAAGTATGTACAACAATATTGCTACCCCTCCTCCTTGCCCATCTGGATAGGAAAATCTAGGATGACTCAAAAATCCTTCTTCTTCTAGACAAATCTCCCTTTGCTCCTGGGTGAAAGTTGTCAGCTCTGGATAGTAGCCAAGACATGAATAGGAGGGAAGCCAGAAGAGAAAAAGAGCTGGTGTCTAGGAGTTTTAAGAGTTTGCTGGCAATCTCAGATGGCATTGTCATAAGTTACGGAAAGGGCCCTTAATATTTTGCTCCCGTGTAATTTCTTAATCATTTAAATTTAACTCACATCAGATGCTGCTGCAAATAATCAAGGCAAACTAGACTCTTCAGTTGTCTGCCATTTTATTGTAATTTAGATTCACAAGAACCTGGTGAGTTTTTGCTTTGACTGTTTCTTATTTGCTTTTAAAGAATGGTAGCACATTTTTATTTAGGATATGTCAAATCCATAGAGTGATTTTAAATTCTCAAAGATTAATTTAACACTTCATTTCAGCTCAAAACTCATAAAGCTTAAGTAGGAATTTTAAGATAAAAATTCTACTACTATCATATAAAGTTTCTACAATTGTTCTAACACAATCTTAGCTATCAGTTAGCATTGGCAAGTAACAAGGACATTTTAAACTCTGAAGATTCCTTTATTTTGATGACACTAATTACCACAACAATGTAAAGATGCAATTTGTACCAGCGCAGAATAAATTTCTAGTAAATATTTTAACTTGAGGATTAAAAAGTAATTGGTATTTTAATTTTCAAGACACTTCCAAGGAGTAAACTGATTGCACTAAAACATACATACACTGTCTCAAGAATACACTCCCGGGTTGCTCCATTTATACCATCTAAGAAAGACAGCAAAGAATGTGAAAGGAGAGCTCCCATTTGAAGATGGCATGAACATTATAGCTGGACAAAGCACTGTTCCAGCTAGAGAAGGAAATGTTTAGTTCTTTCTGTTTAACCAGGAGGTGTGCATGTGCATGTAGAATTCCCATAATCGAGCTCAGGATACAAAACCTTTTTTGAAAGATGCACACATTTCCTTGTTATGAAATACAACGTTAAAAAAAAAAGAAAAAAAAAAGAAATTCAACATTAAAGCTAAATAAGGGACAAATCTAGGGATATTTGAGGAAGAATGCTTTTCATATTTTTATGTGCTCAATTATATTAAAATGAAGACAATGAAACAATATGATTTTTGATAGTTCTGTTCATTATTTTTATCTTAATAAATATGTAATTTTATCTGGCAAATTATACTAACAAATTATAATGTCTATTAAATTAAATCATTGCAGATTTAATGCTTTTAGTGAAGTTCACATTTTATTTTAGAATATAGAGAAAACTTTTTGTAAATAAGGTAATATAAATGGAACCTATCTCTTGGTATCATCACATAATGCCATTCATACAAGAAAATAATAAAACAAACATTTTCCCCCCAAAATCTTGAAACATTGCACAAAGGAGCAAAAGGCAAGTATATTTCAGTTTAAAGGAGAAAGAAATTGTTGGGCTTTTCACGTCTTACTAGGAGAAAGCAATGAAATCACGTTTTTGTGTGCTCTATCTGATCAACCACTTGGTATTCTAAACTTTGTTTAGAGAAGGCTGGCTCCTGATTTGTTTTAGAGCATGATTTTAGAAATAACATTTGTTTACACAGGATAGAAATTTATATAAGTTT